GCTATTCACTTAAGAAACTTACAGTACATGGTGGGGTGGTATTTTTTTATATTCAGTAGCTACCCTAAATCTACCATGGACTAATGTTAATATAAAAAAGAGAATTACTATCCAGTTATCTAGTTGTTGACACTGTGGTTGCTGAGTCCAGAAAGAAGAGTACAAAAACAGAAGACCATAGTATCCAAATAACAAACTGAAGGGTCACGCACACAACCGTATGTGAGGGTCTAGTCGTTAAATAAAATCTTCCCTGTGGGCTTAATTTTCCACAAAACAGGATCTTGATTTTTTTGGACAAAGAAGCCTCCATGAGCCCAGGCACTTTCCAGGTTTCACTGAGATTAATTTCTCTTTTATCTGCTAATTCATGTCTTTCTGGGTATCTGTTAATTACATCTTATGTAAGAAGTTAGTCTTCTCATTAAAGCTTCTCAGCCTGCTGTTTTACTATTAGCATGCTACTGTCAGCAGCAGGAGATCTTCTTGTGTCCAGATCATATCAAGAACTGTCCAACAACCTTCACAAACCTTATTAAAAACAAGTATGTGTGTCCTGAGACACCTGGTTATAGATTCAAATATTGATTTTATGTGAAGCCATATACTAAAAATCATAACTTAAAAATAAAAACATAACTAAGACATGTAACTGATTACTAAACGCTACATATGTCAGTAAACCATTTATTGTGATAAATAACCCCTACTGCATGCTTTGACTGTCTCTTTCAGACTTCTCTGATTCAAATGCCATTTAGTTATTAAATTCTTGGGTCAGGCAATGTTTATTTCTCCAGCAAATCATTGCCTCAGTAAAAAATTTTGATTTTGTTCAAGAACAACAAATGTTATATTGCCCAACAATACTGGCTGCTCCAGCAACAAGAGCTTTCATTTTAACATTTTTGAGAAGTAAGCCATTATTACGTGTGCACTGAACAACTGTGATAATCCCTGTGTATGATGCCTAGGGACGATAAAATCAGGAGAGGTGTGCCAGATGTATACCGAGTTTTGTGCGCACATACACACATGCTGACACAATCTTGCTCTTCCTCTGTGTAGAAGTCTGTTTCCACACAGGATTTCACCACCCAGGGATAGATTCTCAGTGTGGTTTTCAAGTGCCTAAATGCTCTCTTAGGTGTCTTGATCTCACCTGCAGGTGCCTGTGGCATTTGCCAATGTTGTGTTAGTTTCAGCACTATGTTCACCAGTGGTTTCATGTGTAAAGAGCTCTTGAAGCAGGGCTGACAACCTATCCGTCCTTTCTGCGGACCATGTTTGTGTGACAAAGAACCACATCTCACTTATTTTTTTCTCTCACACTATATAAATCTTGAATTACTGGGCACAGTGACAAGCTGCAATAGAGACAAGAAGGACTAGCCTTCAAATACTGAGTCTTTCTTGTTCCCCAAGAGGCTGAAATCGTATATCCAGGAAAGTAATCTAATCCCAGTATTCTGGACATATAATTTCAACCCCCTGGGGAAGAAAGAAGACACTATTTTTTTATGGATCAGCCATTTGCAAGGTGCTTGTTCTAACCACATCAGTGGCAGGTTTACTCTGGCAGGGTGCTGCTTTACAGCATCTGCAAGCATGTTTTATAGGAACATGAACCATTCTTTGAAAGAAAGAGGACAACTATCTGCTTCAGATTCAGACTGTCATCAAGATTAGTTTGGCCCACAACACAACTCCACCGAGGCCACTCAGCGTACTGCCTGCTCTTGCTCACACACCGCCTGTCACTCTGCCCTCTCCAGGCCGCATGCTGCAAGCCACAAAATTCCTAACTGTGAATAGGGAAGAACGAGGACAGTACCCATATTCACGGTAATTTAAAAAAAAAAAAGTATTCAAATGGAATGTTTCAAAAGACGTAGATACATATTTTAAACCATGTGGACTTCATTTTGAATTTGAGAAACCAAATGAAGGATTAAAGCAATCATTTTTCATATCAAGATGCAGAATGTTTATATTAGTAAATGTGATCAGGAAAGTTTTATTTACACAAACAAAATATGCATATCTACCTCGATCACCAGCTGAAGTCAGACTAATGAAGCTTCTACACTTCTCACCTAAAAAAAATAAAATAAA